TTCATTGTTGGCTTCCTTTGACTATTTGGAGGTTTGTGTGGGACTGTCGGTACCTATGCAATAAGAATCTATGTTTTTCATATATGCTACCATGACAATTTGACATCATTTAGGTACAACTTTTTTTAGTGTTTCATGTAGTCCTTTGTATCCAACCATATAATTCCATGTGTCCCTTGTCAAGAACTTTTTTCTTTCTTTTCTTAAATCAATGCCTATAATACTTTACAAATGATATAAACTCTTTTCAAAGGAAACTTGATATATACTTAAAATAAAAAAAATAAAAAAATAAAAAATTGTTCCTTATGTCAAGAACTTTTTTCTTTCTTTTCTTAAATCAATGCCTATAATATTTTACAAATGATATAAACTCTTTTTAGAAGAAACTTGATATATACTTTGAAAAAAAAAAAAAAAAAAAAAAAACTTGTTCGTTATTTTACTTTTATAGTTCTATTATACAACAATAATTTTTAATCATTTATATTGTGATGATTTTGTAAGACATGAAATATATATGGTAGATAACATATATTTAAAACCCTGACATACTCAGTTCTTGTGGGCACGAAGACTCGTCTGCAGTGACTCTCGACCAGAGATATAACCTGATGTTTGTATCAGGAAATTAGTATAGTCGGTACGTGAAAATTTGTCTCAAAACTCTCATTAAGGAAATTTTCTTTAAAAAAAACAATAGTTTTTTGTTCACTACTCCTTACTTATAAGCAACACAACCAAATATGCAAAAATCTTTTTTCCTTTTGAAATCCAGGACCAAAAAGGCTAAAAAGTTGTTTGTAGTTCTGGTAGAATGATCATTGATCAAAGCAATTTTCATAACGAATAAAATGGAAAATATGATTCATTGAATGAGGATAGGAGTTGGTTTTAATTTAAACATGTTAACTTGCCCCACAATGTAGTAATGTGGGGTGTGCAAACATGTGTTTGCCATAAATTTTCAAACTCCCATTTATAATCGTAATGTACTTCACCCCCTTTATCAATTACAAAAAGGAGAAGAGGCCTCATATGAATGTATTAATAATTACTGGAAGCTACAAATGTATACAACTTTATTGATTGATATATTTTCATATTATGTATTAACTCATTTCTCATGCATTCAAATGTCATATACATATTTAGAACATAGTTTGGTACCTCAATACAGGTGCTTCCACTTACCCTTAGCTTTGATGGAGTCATAAAAAAATGCAAGATATATTTTCAACTTTATATCTGAAGTCTTTTATTTTATTTTTCCTTTTAGAAAAAGAGATTGATATTTTAAATATTAAAAGAAAAGCGTTGTGACCTGAGGTCTCCGTTAAATGCTAGACATAAATTCATGGATAAAATAAGTTAAGTTTTGTATCTATTTTCAGAAAAATCATTGTAATTTAAAAATATTTATTATTATTAATGTTATTAATTGCCATTATTGTTATTAGTTGTTGTTGCTATTATTATTATTATTACAATTGACAATAATTGTTCTGTTTTTGAACAACCAAATGGATTATATATAAAGAACACAATTGAAAAGGGATAGCTAATAAATGGTTTTGTATTTAAGTAACTCAACTACTGACTTTAAGTTTGTTATTTCTAATATCAAACCAATTAAAATAAATAAAACGATTTTATTATCAAATAGAGAATGTCTATGCAACCTTTTAGCACCAAAGACTTAATTATTATAATAACTCCACAACACCCAAATAGTGGTCCCAAAAAGGCATTCATCCTCGATCTTTTTAAACAAATACATTTCTGGAATCCATCACGAACATAAATCACCAATTGCCGTTTCTTTTAGGTTTCTTTTAATGGTTTGATTTTTCATTTACATATATCATTTTTTTAAAAAAAAAAAAAAAAAAAAAAAAAAACCGACTATTTTTTTGGGTTTCGTTATCCGTTTATGTTTTTTTGTGTTTTTATATGATTATTTGTTTTGTCAAGTTTCTCAATTTCTCGATTTCTCGATTTTATTTGTTTTGTTGTAAAAGTAATTGTTCGAATTTATAAAACTATTTGGTTTCGGTTTAATTTATTTTTTAGTTTGTGTGTTTTATCATTAAGCACATGTTTGTTGTTTCATTAAAGCAATTAAACACCGTCTTATTGACACATAGTGTATACAGTAAGTAAAGACATTTGACAAAAATGTAAATATACACTTTTATTTAGTATTCTACATGTTAAATTTTAGCTGCATAAAAAACTTAATGCTTGAATTTTTGAGCGTTTTATGACATAAGGTGAAGAAAATACATTATTTAATTAACATTTACTTGGTAAATTAACATTCGGGAAACTATGGTATGCAATTAACCTAAAATAAGATATCAAATCAATTTTTATTATATGGCGTATATGCAATGATTAAAGATATATTCAAGAAACATATTAAAAAGAAACACTATGATATATCTAACCTAATAAACTTACACATATCATGTATATTTTTGATGTGTTCGATAAAACTAGCTCGTATCTAATAGTTGGTTGTTGGTAACTAGTATCTGATATCTAACACTTGATAGTTGTAGTTTTTATTTTGTTATATAAGTGTTCAATAAAAATAACTGAAAACATTTAGAACAAGTAAAATTACATAAAAAGATGTCTTTGTTACATATAAAATACAAATATAATAATGAAAATTTAATTATATAAACTATTCTTTTTCAAAATTGGAAAGTTTTTCATAACTAAAAACTATTACAAAATAAAAATTGAGACAACATAAAATATATAGTAATAAAATCATTTATGTCAAGTATTCCATATTAAAATAATAATATAATTACAGACACATTTTGTATTATTAGATAATTTTTAAAGTCTTTCATTGTTTGTATCACCACAACGGACATCATGAAGTTCATTATTTGTTATGCAATCAGGATGTTCAACAAAATTAAATAAAAGAATTATGACAAACGTAGTTATACAAAGCAAATACGGCCGTAACAATATGACTTTGCACACTAAATAAGTAAATTTTACCATTTCGGTATCTTCCATCTATTCTTTAAAATTTCCCCTAAATCAAAACCATATGAAAAATCAATTTTAAAATCGAGTTCGCATTTTTTTTTCTATTCATATTTTGGGTTTAAACATTTCGGCATTTTTTATGTATTTATTTTTTTCTCATAACTTAAATTTTAAGTCTATGAACTAATATATATGTTAAATATAAAGTTTTGAAAATCGGACCGGAAATCAAATCAGTCATCTTACGGATTAATGGTTTAACTGGTCCAAGTTGGACCTGTCTCAGAAACCAAAAAACCGGATGATGCCATTATTGATTTTAATTATATAAAAAAATACAAAAATTGAAAAAAAAAATTAAAATTCCCAGTTTTATTGGTTCGCATGACGAATATTTTTTGACCTGAAAAGACCAAATTTGGTACCGGTTAAACTGGTCTAGTCCAGTTTTCAAAACATGGGTCGAATAGTATATCATATGACGTCCCACGATTGGAACCTAATGCTTAAGAAGTAGAATTTCAAATAGGAGGTCAAACATTCAAACTTTGATAAATCTAAAATACTCTAGTGTTCTACGATTAATCTCTCATGTAAAGCTTAGGGCATGCTCATATGATGGTACGCTTTAACATTTATTTACACCCATTGACTAAGTGCGATTTAACATTAAATGGTTGTGTTTGATATTTTTTGGTATTTGTATAAAGCTAAAGCCAAACAAAAATGTTTGACATGTTTTCTAAGTAACTATTACAACTTATAAAGTGAATTACATATTTGGGACAACAATAACTATTATGCGGTTCTGTTTCGTTTTTGGTCAAAACCGAACTAAAAACCGCAACTTCAATTTTTTGAAGTTTAGAAACCGCACCGTTCGAATTTTATACGGTTCGATGTTTTTTGTTTTTTTTTATTATTACTTTTTTTGCGGTTTTTTTTTAAAACTAAAACTCAGGTAACTTAATAAGTTACTTTGACTCGGATGAAGAGTACTAATCATTTCTTGAGAAATTTTATATAAAGATGAGGAACACCAAAACAATGTGGTACTCTTCAAAGATGCGGGTTAAAAGTCATAGACGTGACTCTCTTATATAAAATGTGAGAATGGTGAAAGTGTTATCTCAAAGATGATGTGAGATGTTCTTATAATATTAACAAAATTAAAACCCAAATGATATTTTGAAGATGAACCTATATCATCACCTTTTGGTTTGAAATCAAATGATATAACTACTCACCTTTTAATGTTTGAATATAATACTAATTAAACCTAATATTTATTTCACATGTACATTTGATAATATGAATTAATGTATTCATAAAAATAATATTATCATTACAAATACTCTTTGTATTTAAATGTTAAATAATATCATAAACATTATTTGTTCTTGTGAATATTATTAAATGTATACTTAAAAATATACAATTATTTTCTGAATTTATATTTATAAAAATCTTAATTGTTATGATTTCTTTATTCTTACAAATATCAAACATTTATATATATATATTATATATATATATATATATATATATATATATATATATATATATATATATATATATATATATATATATATATACACACACACACAGTGTGGTTCAGGTTTTTGCGGTGTTTACAAGAATAAAAACCACACCACACCTAACATTTTTTGTTTTTGCAAAAACTAAAAACCGCACATCGGTTTAGTTTATACATTTTTTTTAGGTTTTTCGGTTTGCGGTTCGGATTTTTACTCAACCTTAACCTTATGATCAAAATGCTTGTGTTAGATCTTTTTGAATTTTTTGCTTAAAGTTTAACCAAGCTTTTTGACGCATTTATAAAACAAGATATAAAACAAGATGTATCATAGTTGCTAGTTGAGTTAGATACGACAACTGAATTTTCAAATTCAATATTGTTGACATTTTATTATCAATTTCAGATTTGTTTGTATGCAACTTTCATTTTCTCACTTACAACTCCTACACCATTTGTTTCAGTAACCACAACAAAGAAATAACAGACGTTTGACATACATTCAACCTATTTAATAAAACTAATCTGTGTTGAATGATTCCAACCGAATGATTAAGAAAAGGTAGGGTTCTTAAACCGTTAAGAGGTTTTTGATTCGTTCAGAGGTTATCAAACATCGCATAAGTAACCAACCAATATCGAACAAATAAAAAATTACAATTTTCCTTTGTTCCACCCAATGAAAAATATAACATGAGAGTAATTTATCTCAAAATAAAATGAAACTTTTATCCCTAATAGAAATTGTGAATTAAAATATCTAATTATACATATTATTTTCTTAAGAGAAAAAAAACATGACACCTGTGTTAGGCTCCACTAGCATACATATGGGTCCATTCCTTTGCTGTGGGTTTTACAGATAAAATTATAATGTCATTTTCTTATTAAAAAAAAAAACAGAATATTTTAATTTTAATCAAATGTACAAAAAAGAAAAATACAAATTACCTGTTTCAACAGCTTCAGCTTCATTAGATTTCCAGTGTTTTGCTATGTTTTCAGATAATGGATCATCTGGGTTTGGAGCACTCAAAAGTGCTTGAATACTAAAACATAAATTTCAAAATTTCAAGAAACTAATTTATTTTATTATTTATTATTTATATTATCACCTAATTATGAAAAATCATGGATATTTAATAACTTTACCTTAAAAGTACAGTGCGAATTTGAAGAGCAGGGCTCCATTTATCTTTAAGTATATCAAGACATATTCGGCCAAGCTGTATAGAAAAAAATATAGTATTAAAAATAATAATTTAAACAATAAAATTAAAGAAATATGTGAGTAGACAAACCTTGTCAATGTTAGGGTGATATATCTTTGTGAGAAATCGAACCTGTTAGAAAGTTTATAACAAATAAAATACCAAAAAAGGTTAAATGTTGTAAAAGAATTATTCAAATAGGGATATGCTAAAAGATGTTTTTTTTTTTTTTTTAATAATTTAAATGTATATATTTGAACCTTGGGGGCAGCCATTGGATATTCTTCAGGCAAAAATAACTCCAATTTGAAGACTCCTCCTATAGAACAACAACCACAAGCAACATGAGAAAAAAAAAAAAAAAAAAAAAAAACAAGTATTTTTAGTAAATAATGTAAGGTTATTGAATTAGAACATAGGAAATGATTTAATGCAATCTTGCTTCATAAGATAACATTACAAAAACTTAATAATCACTTCATTCCAAAAAACTAGCTTTAGTTTGATTTTGAAGGATAAAATTGACCACTTTTGAAGAATATATTTGTGTCTTATATCTTAAGTTTTTGAATCTTTTGATAACTACATTATTGTATTCACTCATGCAATACACAATCAATATAAGAGTTCTCTTTGAGAAGTAGATTAGTACTTTAAAATTGAATGAGAAGCATTTGGCAAGATTATATAGATCTGCAGTCTATGTTCAAGAGATGTGTGAATTCTTTCTTCACTGAGGAAGAAAGTAAACAGAATATAACTTATAAGCATAGTTTTGCAGAAAGATTGCTTACTTTAAACAAAAGAAGCAACAATAATAGCCCTATAAGTCAATATTACAAGAAGTCAAGAACAATAGAAGCAAGTTAATTTACCTTCATAAGGAGATTGTGATGGACCAAGGATCATGACATTGAAATAACGCATATTCTCTTCTGATGGTGATGCACTTATCCCAGGAGCTACACAGCAAATTCATGAACATCAAACCCAAATCCCTTCTTTTTATAAATGAGCCCTAATACAATATACAAGGGGGTAAATTCCTAGGATTTAAGATCATGATTAGCATCATTCTGCAACTTAGGCTAAATCCGTATTCCAATCGATCTTCACTCATTTCTGCAACTGTACCTTTACTCTCCTAACGATCTCGTTTTGTTAATATCTTGCATTACAATTAACAATACTCCACCAAAACAATTTTGTTAATCGCTAGAATGCTCAAACATAGTCGGATTGAAATTCCGAGTAACAAACACACAAAATTAACAACTAAATAACAGTGTTCAAGTTCACCTGGTTCGCTAAGCAACCGCTGTGTCTCCTGAACGAAAACAACAAAATCAGAAGCTCAGTTACTGCTTTCAATTTACGAAACTGATCGGATGAAAAAACAATAGAAAACGAGATATGCGAAATCAAGAAACCGCGATGAAAATCGCTTGTTGAGCACAGTACCTTGATGATTCTTCGAGGTAGATTGCTGTTCGCCATGGAAGGAGTAGAAGTTACGCTAAAGGAGCTTTTGGATTTTTGAGAAGAGAAATAGAGAGGGGTTTTAGAGAGAGAATGTGAATGGGGGTGCTTTTGGATCTTCACCTCCGTTTACGGGTCGGAAAAAAACCCGAATTAAAGAACTAAAATAAATTGGGAAATGGGGACCATTATATTATTAACTAATAAATATTGATAAATAATTATATAGAAAAGCAATAAATAATTAAATATATTTTTATAAGTATAAGATAATATGAATAAAAATTAAAATATTATTTTAAAAGCAACATGACATATAAAAATTATAATCAAATTATTACAAAAATATACCAAACAATATATAGACATGTATATGGATTATCTGGTTAAGGTTGGTTCATGTTTTTATTTTGAATTCAGTTTAATTTAATAAATAATATTAGAATAAGTTCGGAGGTAAGTGTTGTATTGTGTTTATTGTTGATTTTTTAACAATAAAATACACAGTAAACATAAAATCAATATTGTCAAAATCGGGATCTTATGTAAAATTATAATCGTAAGATCGGATCGGGATCGTAAGATCCTACCAAAATGAACGCATATTCAGTTTTTTATTGTTAGATACTAGTTGTGCAATATGCATTACAATTTGATGTTGATTAAGATGTCGATATGGAGTTAACGTTACCTTTTCAAACATAAACTATAATTTTTGTTGTTGTAAACTGTAAAAATTAGAAAAGAACAAGATCATTATGATCATATACAACTAAAGGCTTAAGATCACAAATGGAATATCATGAGTATGACCTACCCAAATCGAAATAAATCAGTGAAACTCTGTAAGGCTTCTTGCAAGCTGTAATATTCTATTTCAAGTTGAATAAATGAATTTTTGAGGTTCGACTATATAATAAAATAGAGATGTGAAATTAGATTGTTTTAATATCTCAAGATCCTAGCCGGGACTTTAAGATCTCACTATAGATCTTGCTTCACATAAATCCTAGTGAGATTTGAATTGATTTTGGCTTGTAAAATCTTAAAATCATTAGACCTTAAAATCAAAATCGGGATCTTAAAACTAATCTTTCAACACGTTTAATATGTCGAAACAGTTATTATAAAGTAAATTACATGAATCTAATCGTTCAAGTTATTTGGGTAGTGTGTATGTATTTTGTCTCTATTATTTTTTTCATTCAAACTGTCCTTATGTTGTATTATTGTTTTACGATTTTTGTTTATTTAACAAATATAAAATGACAGTTATATTTTTAATCTTTTTTACCTTTTTTTATTGGTGTTGATTTTTATAATAAGATTAATATATGAGACTCACTTTACACCTATCCTTATCTGATACATCACTTTTAATCGACATTCTCAAACATAAATAAATCATTCCATCTTATATTCATTTTTCTCACTCGCTATTTGATGGTTTAGAAACCACAAATCAAACTATTCGGTTCAAGTAGTCAAGAATCAAACTACTGATACATTTAAACCCAAAAAACTGTACTCAAAAATCAAACTCTGACAGTACTTTACTCTTGATTATATAATAGAATCATTTGACGAAAATTTATGAATAGCCTTTTATACACATTGAACAATGAAAATTACTTGAACGTTGAAATTTAAGTCTCAATCTTTAATATCATGTTTTTGACTTTTTTTAAGGAAGAAAATGGGAGGAAATGTATCTTTTTGATTTTTTTTTTAAAATTTTTTTAATTAAGGAGGGGAATGGAAGGAACCCAAGGTTCTTGGAATGGAAGGAACCCAAGGTTCTTGATTTTTTTCAAGGGGAAAGAAAAGAAAGAAAATGAAATGTGTTCTTGAAAGAGAATGAAAAGAAATTGAATGATTAGGCGAGAAAAGAAAATTCTTATTTTTCATCAAATCTTTCCTCCTATTTTTGGGATGATTATGGAAGAAATGAGGAGAACAAAAATGAATAAGTAAAAGAAACTTTTATTTCTTTCCCATCCATTTTTATTTATATATATATAAAAAAAACCTAATATGAAATAGAATACAATAATAGCCTAAATTATAATTTGAGTTTTTTTTAACATATCTAGTCATCGAAACATATCTTATTTATGTATTTGGTTAAGAAACAACTTGATTTTTCGGTTGTTTCATCGCTAACTAGGTGTGAGATCCGTGTATTATATGGGTTGATTTAAAAAATATTAAACATTAAATTAAAATGTAAACAAAAAGTATTTTTTTAATGTACAACTTTATAATAAGAAAAAAATAATCATATTTATTGCAATTTAATATTATATATATAATATTTAATACGTATCATTTTAATTTTAATAATTGAAATGTGACAACTGCCAATTCAGGTCATTCTTGGACTCATGCATCTTTATAATAACCATTCATGCACAACATGTCATGACCTAGTAGTATAAATTAGGTCAAAAATCTTGCATAAACTAGGATCCAACTAAGGTCTAGGACTAATATACTTGATACTTACAATTCTAGTAAGTTGCTTAGCTACAATAGGAAATGCCAATACTATAATTAGAATAAAGCTTCAAGCTTTGTTATAATTGAAATAGGGTATAAAACTCTAAAAATAAATTAAAACATTCTAATTATACTTCAACATGTTGTTGAATATCAATCAATGTTCCAAAAACTCTAAACAGCCAAAAATCCAAATTTATAAATCTTAAAGCTTAAAAACTTTATAAAATTTGGCTATAAACTTTCTAATATCAAATTTTATTAATCAAATTATGGATTATACCAATGAAATAGAAATATAAATTACAAGTATTAATCATAATTTATTAGTTAAAAACAAGATTTTTAAATAAATCAAAAATTGCTTAAAGAATCACTTTTATAAAAATTAGATTTTTATAAAAATTAGATTTTTATAAAAATTAAGGAGGGATTTTTTATAAAAATTTGAATTTAGGAGAGAGGAGGCTTTAATGCCTCAAAAATCTGGCCATCTCCCCTCTCCCCATGCACTCTCTTCCCAAAACTCATGATTAAACTCAAACCCACACTCCACCTCTTCTCTCTTCACTCTTCTCACTTCACTCTCTTCACACACTTCACCCTCTTCCTCTCTCTCTCTAAACTCACGAAATTTCTCTCATTTCTCTGCCAAATTTCAAGACTTTGAAGACCTTGAAGTGTTCTTACTTCTCTCAAGATCATAACCAAGGTAAACAACATCATCTTCTTCCATAGTTTGATGATTCTACTTCTTTTCCTTCTTAGTTTTCTCTTCTTTTAGGATTCTATGCCTTTCCATGGCTAGAAATCTTTATTCTCCCCTTGTGGTTTGTAGATTCTCACCATAACACAATGCATGTGTTTGAAATGGTGAAAATCCGGGATCAAACCCATGCAAGGAGTGAAAAAGATGCACATATGATCATGTGACATCAAAACATAATATTTCATGTTCTTCTCCATTTCTTGTGTGTTCATGCATGAACGAAAGCATTAAACCATTTCTAGTACATCTTGGATGCTCATTCATTCCATGCATGTGTTAGAAATCGGGCCTTACCAAGGACATGCATGATGTTCTTATTGAAATACCCTAAAAATGCACACAAGCAAACATGCAATCTGCCAGATTATTTTGTTCGACTTTGAACAGTCATAACTCAGTCATTTTTTAACCAAATCATGATATTCTTTTTGTATTGGTTAGTTCCACGAGTTAACTTTCAAACCCAACTGGTCTTACTGTAAAATATTAAATATCCGATTTTTGGCAGATTTTACAAAAAGGTTGCGCATACAGCTCTTTTTCTGTGATCACTATTTTTATCTTGCTTAAACAATGGTCTTAAACCCAACCATAAATCTTAGGAAAAATACCTTAGAAACTTAACATATCTAGTGAGTTATGGTTGAAATTTCGTGGCTTAAAACCTCACTGAATGGGCTACAAAAATTCATGAACCTCAGCCACATCTACACTTCATGCATTATTGCATGCAACTTTTCTTAAATTGTTTGGAATCATTACCCTCATTTCTCTTCTGAATACATTCTTAACATTTTTACTTTTGAAAGCCCTTGCATGCATGAGATAATCTGGAAAATTTCAAGAGCTTTTGTTATTTATTTGATTTATTAGAATTATTGCTAAAACCAAGGGCATAAATCATATAAAATACTTCCAGAGGTCAATAAATCCTAAATAAATTCATGGATGATACTTATGGGGAATAATGACCCCTCACCAAATTTCAGCAATTTTTGTTACTGTTTCATATGATTTCTAATTTTCTTTTATTTAGGACATGATAAATTACAAAACCACTTTTTAGGATGTGAAAATTTTATCTAACAATTTTCGCATACCTTACTTGTGATGGGTGACTCAAGAAAATAATTTCAAGATTTTTCATCATGTCTAGCTATTTTTCCCAATTTTTGGTAATTATAATGGCTTAAAAATGGGAAAAATAGTTCTGATTATCCAAAATTCATGAAAATTTGCCAGGATATCATATTATATAGTAGGAGGTTACATAAAAATTTTGAATATTTTTCTCCACTGTAAACTATTTTTCCCTTATTTTCTAAAGTTAATTGCACTAAAATTCACTTAAATATACATAAATACCCAAAACCAGTTTATACATTATGAAAACCACTTTTGATATTTTTCCCAAGATATTTATACTGTAAATGATGTTACAAAAATTTATGGTAATTTATTTTAACTGTTTAATAATATTTCTTTAATTAATGACTATTTAAAGGAATAAAACAAGGAAAAATACAAATAACCACTGAAAAATATATTTTATATTTTTCCCAGCCTATTTATGTATAATAACAATTAAATAAAAAGTTTGGGTAATTTTGGAAACTGTTTACTATTTATTTCAATTTTTATTGAAATAAATGCTCAAAAATTATAAAATATAATTAAACAGCTTGGAAATCCATTTTTATAATTTTCCCAGCTTAGTGTTGTGTATTAACAGTTAAATAAAAAGTTTGAGAATTTTTATCCCTCGAATACTATTTTTCGTGAATTTATGTTGTTATTGAGACTTAAAATTTGGAAAATTAACCTTCCAAGGTTGTAATTAATCGCACGACTTGTAAAATTTCAATACATCAG